GCACGATTTTATTTTGGGCTATTTTAGTTTGTGCGTAATGGAATCTTTGAACGTCATTATCACCGACTTCATGAAAATTTTAACACACATTATCGACCGATTACAAAAGTTTTGTAATGAAATAGTGATTAAAAAATAATTACATTAATAATTACTTTGTGTTGGTTATTTCGAGGAATTTTTATTTTAGTTTTTAATCTATTCCGCGAACATTGTTTAATTCATTGCATAGGTTTTACTGATGGTAGGATCTCTTGTGAGTCCGCACGTAGGTAGGTACCACCACCTCGCCTATTTCTGTCGTGAAGCAGTAATGCGTTTCGGTTTAAAGGGTGGGGCAGCCGTTGTAACTATACCTTAGAACTTATATCTCAAGGTAGATGGCACATTTACGTTGTAGATGTCTCCAGTAACCACTTAACACCAGGTGGACTGTGAGCTTGTCCACCCATTTAAGCAATAAATAAATAAAAAGGGGACTGGACGAGGTCACGGATGTATAAAGTGGTTGCTAGTGATATCATAACGCAAATTCCGCTGACCTCCTTGAGGCCTGAGGTCCAGCTCTCAATCGTATTGTACAACGACTGTCTCAAGCTTCGAACTCGGAACGTGTGGCTATTTTACGGCATAAATAGGCAGTTAGCATCCACAAGGGCCTATCGTCAGTAAATCCAGGTTCTCAATCTGAGTAAGGTATAATACTCAGAGACCACTGCTACCCATTCCTTCGCTGAATGCCTTTGTCCCTAGAAAAGGAAAAGGCAGTTTTTTTGGGCTTTGGTATGGAAATTTTTAGTTTGAAACCCAAAAGTATGATCCGTTGATAACAGATTAGAGTCGTATGGTGGTATTTACCCAATGTTATATGAAGGTACATCTTAAATTAGTGAAGGCACTTTTGTTTTCATGACTAGCCCAGTAACCTCGAGTTCTTAAACTAGGTTCAACGCGTAGGCGAGTTCAGCGGACTTAACCTGGCGAATTTACTAACACTAGCCCTAGCAAGGCTAGTGCTTAGCAGAATCTACCACCGGATCGAAATCATGACCCACTGAAAGGATCCACCGAGAAACTCAGTGGGCTGTGTCTGTGAGGACAGGCATAATAGACAAAATCTATTCGTTGGATCTTAATCTGTACACATTCTAAAACAAAAGTTCTATTAGTTTAGGCTTTTGGACGAAACTATTAATTTACATACATGCACATATACACATATACATATATACGTACATGCACACTAATTTAGGAATCGTTCCACGAGTGGAAAGCGTTTTGATTGCAAAACATTGATTAATGAAAATCGGATGTGGTTTTGTCTATTACCTTTTTTTTAAATTGCTTAGAAGGGATTACGGCCCACCTGGTGTTAAGTAATTACCGGAGCCCATAGACACCTGCAACTTAAATGGCACCACCCACCTCGAGATATAAGTTGTAAAGGTCGCAGTTTTTACAGTACAGTGTAACGGCTGCCCCAGCCTTCAAACTGAAATACATTACTGCTTCACGGCAGCAATAGGCAGGTTGGTAGTGCCTACCCGTGCGGACTGACGACACCAGTTACTACGCAAATTATACTTTTATTACACGATGCTATTCCTTCACCGTGAAAGACAATCGTGAAAGATTGTTAAGTACGTATTTCATTAGAAGAATTGTTACCCGCCTGTGAGATTTGAACATCGATGTAGGTATCGCTTGATACGATTACACCGGGTGTCATATCCCTTAGTCCACGACGATTTTACTGACAGGCGAGAAAGCATTACCGACAGGACATCAAAGATCAAAATGAAAAAATGTCAATATATATAAAAATATATAACCAACGATAGCAATAGCCAATCTGGTTATCTGTGATCTCATATGGGCGAAATATAAGATATCATCATCATCATCAGCCTTTATCTGCCTATTGCTGAACATAGGCCTTCCCTAATGCCTTCCACAGAATGCGGTCCTCCGCCTTCCGCATCCAACGACTTACCGCCGTCCACCTGGTTGGAGGACGCTCCTGGTACCCATCCGTGGCCTCCATTCGAGAACTTTCCTCCCCCACCTGGGGTCGCAGGCTCGAAATAAGTTATGCTTAATGGCATATCCAATACTTTTGTGCGTCCCGGCGATTCAAGTGATTCAATGTACCATAGAGAGGCTCTCCTTTCGCGCGGAAGGTTTTAAATGAGGTCATACGACCGCGTTAATGTAAATTCCGATTGTGCTTACGCACGGAGTGCTGAATCTGTGGCTGAGATGGATTTTAATTACAAGGAAACGTCACCTTGAATGTTTGATTTTCATTCAGAATAGTTTCCCAAATTTTTATCCCTCTGATTGAACGTCGTCACAGGACCCATAGGCTACCATTCATATAACTTGAGAGCTGGGTATCTCTATAGTAGTTTAGTACTATATTAAGCACAATACTGATGATAATAGGTTAGACTCCTAAACGAAATAAACATTAACTTGTTTTATTTATTTTTATATATATAGCCACCCGATCGCTCCCGAAGGAGACCTAGCAGCTCAAGGGCAGCTGCTTCACGAATGCATCAACTGCCGAATCGTGATCCGCTCGGAAGAACCTGCAGGAAACTCAGCGGGTTGATACATGGGTTTCGTCCCACTTCGAACACTTCGAAGAGTTCAACGAGTACGGCTACCAGGGTCCCTATTCCTGCTTCTAGTGTTAGAGCAGGAATAGGGATCCTGGCAGCCGTACTGGTGGTAGGACCTCATGTGAGTCCGCACAGGTAGGTATCACCACCCCGCCTGTTTCTGCCGTGAAGCAGTAAGTAATGCGTTTCGGTCTGAAGGGTATGGCAGCCGTTGTAACTATACCGAGATCTTAGAAGCTGTATCTGAAGGTGGGTGACGCATTTACGTTGTAGATGTCTATGGGCTCCAGTAACTACTTAACACCAGGTGGGCTGTGAGCCCATCGTTTACCCATCTAAGCAATAAAAAAAAAAGAGCTGTAGCCGTTTAATAACAGTGTTATGGACCGGCTGGATCCGTAAAGACGTGTCTGGGACGTTGACGGTGACTGCAGGAATAGTCCCACAATATTCCATGAAACCACCACCACTTCGTCACAAAAACTTTAAATTATTCGAAACGTTGGAAGAAGTGGGGGAGTGCTCTGAGGAATTGTTTCAGATGATCCCATCATCACGCTATTACCATCGCACCACCCGGCACCGGAGTATAGTTCATCTATATTACCTAGAGCCCCTGCGTTCATCCACAGTGCGTTTCCAGAGATATTTTTGCCACGTACCATCCGGCTTTGGAATTCCCCTCCACGGTGCTTCCCGAGCGCTATGGCATTCCTTCTTCAAACGCAGCTTTTGGAGAGTACTTAACGGTGGGCAGCAGCTTGGCTCTGCTCCTGGCATTGCCGAAGTCCATGAGCGACGGTAACCACTCAATATCAGGTGGGCCATATGCTCGTACCATTGCGTACCAGATCAATAAAATAATAATAATAAAATAATGTTACCCGGGTAAAAGTAACGCCATCTATCGCCGAATAGCCGAACGAATATCGAAGGATCTAGTAAGATCTACAACGCTCCAGAAGTACGACGCCATCTGCTGTCAGATTGCGGAAATACAATACTCGACTTTTATGGAATATTCTCGATAATTCTAGGGATGTGGTATCGGCTATAAAAGCGTTGCAAAGATGGCACGCAGTTAGTCAGTAATCGGTACTACTCGAAGCGAAACAGCGAACGGATCACCTGAAGCGAAGTAGAGGAAGCGAATTGAAAATTTTAAGGTATTTTAAGTGTTCTAAGTGCTAATACAGTGTTGACTTGTAATTCGGTACAATTTTATTTATCTCGAACCATAGCGCGTAACCACAGAATAATAATAATCAGTAATAACAAACGCGAAATAAAATCGTAAAACGAATTTTAATTATACTCTTTATCTTTGTCTACTGATACACTCATTACATAAAACTTCATTTAAAAAGAGAAAATAATTAGAAAATAGCATTTCCCTTAAATGACTTAATAGCATTGGTTACAGTTATAATTATTCTTTATTAGTCACACATATATGACTAGGCTGCTACCTTATACAGTGTGCTCTGTTTTGAAGTCAGCAAAATAAATAAATAAATATTGTTCCCACTATTGATAATGTTGTAATTGAAATATTGTTTAAAATTATCCTGTGCTTCAGTTAAAAGAGCAGAACGGACATTACTCGTAGAATAAGTAAAAAAAATCCTATGACCAAACCCTCTTTTAATCAATATTCTTGTTGTGAAACGTCAAGTCCGAAAAGACTTGGTCGGTCAGAAATGGAGGTTGGCTAAGCGAGATGTCAATGTCAGTTGGGTTAGGATAGATGTAACGGTGTCATTCGGTAATTAATCCTCACTTTTAGACTAAAGACCAAATTATATGCACGTAATGCCAACCGCAATCCAGCCTCGCCGTGTTCCGGTAATCTGTTTCCATCCAGTTTTTGTTTGTTGATTTTGAATAGATTTTTTGTTGAATCGTTCTACTGGGAATTGTTTCCGTGATTAACCATAGACAATAACCCGCTCGGTCATAAATGTTTCTACTACCCGTTGTCATATATTTTTATTGCATAGATGGGTGGACGAACTCACAGGCCACCTGGTGTTGAGTGGTTACCGGAGCCCATAGACATCTACAACGTAAACGCCGCCACCCACCTTGAGATATGAGTTCTAAGGTCAGCTGCCCCACACTTCAAACCGAAACGCATTAATACTTCACGGCAGAAATAGGCAGGGCGTTGGTACCTACCCGTGCGAACTGACAAGAGGTCCTACCACCAGTACCAGTATACATGAACAAACACCCTGTACATTATAACAAACACAAACTAATCAGTAATGACATTCAGAAATCATGTTTACTAAATTAGAAATTTATTTGTTTTCTTTAATTAAGATCTTTTGGAAGAAAAATTTTGAACGAGAATAGTTCATTTTAATCGATATGTTGGGCCCGTGCAGTTGTGTTCTCGTGCTTTTGTCCGCGGGACTGGCTAAAGTAACTATTGCCTTCAAATATTCAATCATCTCCATTTCATTACGAAAATGAACACAAAGTTATTTTATTATTCATTACGTCTCAACAAACCTTAAGCAAAACACGATAAAAAAAATTCAAGCATTTCTTTTTAATGAACTCAAGACGGTTGATTGGCTTGGTCATTCCCAGCTTTAATGTCCGTGAGGTATAACGCATTAATGAAAAGTACGCCAAGTGTAATATTATACTCTCCTAGACCGCAATTTCTTACCATAGAAATTCAAATACAAAAACACTTGTTATTACTAAAATAAAAATTCTACTATTTCAATAAAAATTAAAAATAAAAACGTTAAATTTCAGAACACACACGGCGAGCTCGCGAATGATGCTTCACTGAAAATTAATTCTGACGTGGCCGATAAAAGCGATTCAATATTTTTTGTTGTACCAAAGGAACGTGGGTTTGACTCACATTTGAGCAGTGATATAACGTATGTAGTCAAGGACTCGGATGACTACGAATATGATTTCGAGGACAGATATAGATCAGATTCGAATAATGAGAAAGAAGATTTCGTTATTAAAGATATCATAAATGCGAATAGACACGGTTTCAGTCATGAAGTCGATCATCCGAAGAACGTACCTAATTATTTTACAGACGATAACGTTAAACACAACACCGAATCTGCAAATGACGATGCTGCATATATACTTTATCAACTTCTTAGGGTGAGTTTATATAAAAATTACTAGATGGTTCCTAAAATCAACACAGCTGATGACTTGTTTTTATTCAAATTAGCATCCTCACTCCTCGAACCTATAGCACCGTCGATTGATAACGTCATCACACCGAAGGTAAAATTAAATGGTCTAAAATGGGACACTGAAATAAAACCTTTTTTATCTGGGTCATTATTGAGTCGCCTGACTTCCGCCAAAGCGTTTGAGGACGTAGGCGGAATTAAAATGATTAAAGCCTCGAGACCCCCATCAACTGGCATCCAAACCTGGAATGAGACTAAGTTCAAGGTGACTTTTTCTCACATCTTTCCCATCAGAAGTGCAGGTCGTTGGCATCACGACCACTTGGTCTCTGTTGGTAAACTATTCGAAGCCAGTTTAGATGGTACTACCAATCCTGCTAAGTCAGATACAAACGCGGCTCAGGGAGTATAATTAACTCCCGGCTGGATCTTCGTAAAACCGGTTAAAGTTTAGTTCAGTACCAACTGTCACTGGAGCAACGTTCACTCTGTTTGCCTGGATCTACTTATCTGAAGTAAGATTACATTTTCCTCATTTTTAGCATCGAAATCCAAACCTTTAGAAAAATCTTCCTTCTTTTTCCGAAATTATTCATGTTCTTACCTTTTCCTTTAAATGGCAATAAGATAAAATTCCAATACTGTGACGTGATTATAGTCATAGAATTNGAAAGACAGCCTTCGTTCTGCTCTCAGAGCCCAATGCGAGAAAGCAAAACGCTGCATCCTACAATGTCAAAAGAATCAGATAGATTGCCCTGTTATCTGCAAAGAAAGTTACGACGAATTCAACATTTGCGCATCGTAGAAGCCAAAAAGATGCAAAAAAACGAAATGCGGAAGGACTTTGCCACCAAATTGGTTGTAAACGTATTTGAATTTTCGAATTAAACGAATAATCCGTTGCTTTGTCGTTTTATTACTGTTGTTTATTGGCAGACGAGCTTACCGCGCCAATTGTTGGTTACCAGAACTCACGGCGTAAGCACCTTAATGCTACAACCCACTCAATATATGGTTACAAAGTTTTTACGATTTTTCTGCTTTTCTAATTAGGAATCTAGAGTTGCTGGTAACAGATGTAAGCATGCTCACACAACAATATCTCTTTGTTGGCTTAATGACCCACAAGAGAAAAGACGGGTAATTATTGTAGGCCAACATGTCGCCAATCGACGATAATTAGAGGAGTGGTTATCGATTCGATCTGCTTTTTCTTTTTCGGGCCGGGGGCTGAACCTAGTACGAGGTCCCCGTGCCCAAGGAATTTTAGGGCCCACCCACTAAACGACTCCCCTACACCCTTACACCCGACGTCCGATCTCCGTCCGGGGTCAAAACCCGGTCAGAGTAGGGGGGTTTCCGCGGTCAACACTACAACCAGACACGCGGCGCCACCCCGAGGACGCCCGACCGACGGGTCGTCGAGGCGATAGTCGACGACCAACGATGTCGACAAGCGACAAGTCCGGTCCTATTTTTGTAACGAGGACGCGGCGCTGCTCCGCGAAAGCGGGGTAGTACACGAGCGTGTGCTCCGCCGTGTCTCGTTGCAGCTACTGCAGTGGTGGCACTTCAGCGTCGGCTCCCTCCGGGCGACGAGGTGCAGGTAGTGACCGAAACAGCCATGTCCCGTGAGCACCTGCGTCGCTCGGAAGGTGAAACGTCCTCGGTCGCGATTCGCCCAGTCCGAGAGGACCGGGCGGATCACCTCGACGTTCCGTCGCCTGTAAGCGGAGTCCGCCAGGCGGCAAGACCACGCCTCGAGCACGGCACGCCGAGATTGAAGCTTCCGCGCTCGAACTTCCGCCGCGCCGGGACGCGGCTCCCTTCTGGAGCGGAGATCGATTCTATCTGCCGCATAAACCAGCAATTCTTCTCTGTCAATATCCTTTTGGAGGTGCACCCAGTGAAATATTTTTACTGTTCATTCGGGCGGCATAACTTTTCGGTCTTTTTCAACTATCAATACTGTTTTAGTGTTAAAGACTACACTATGAAACAGAAAAGGAGTTGAAATACAAAAAAAACATCCAGATTTTAGTCTTAACTTTATTTTGCTTAATATCCCAACGCTATATGTTGAGTATTCGAAGATCGGTTTGAAGATGTTGCGAATTGTGGTTTTTTTTTCTTACGCGAACACAGAGCCAACCCCCCAATTTTTTTTTTTTTT